CTACCATGTTTGTCGAAATTCTGAATGTGTATTGATTTGGAACCGCATCTGTGTATTTGTCCAGGGAAATTATTTCTACGACTGTGTGTGGTGATACTCTGGCCAAAAGGGAACAAGATTTCGGGTTGGGCTGTGATGACTCTTAGTGCTCACGATTGTTACAGAAAAGACTAAGTTAAGCTAGGTGAACGCTTCAATCGGATCGTCTTCGAGAAAAGGCCCTGGCTTGCCAACACCCTGAGGATGACTCTTAGTTCGTATATTGTCCAACGGGCTTAATAACTTTGAAGAATTGTGTGGCAAAACCCGGGCCTTTTCTCGAAAACGATCTGATTGATAGGTCAACCTAGACTTAAACTTAGGTCTTTTCCTTACAATCGTTGAGCAAGGCTAGAGTCACAACAGCCCTAACCCGAATCTGTTCCTTGTGGCAGAGTCACCACACACGTGGAATAATTTCCCTGGACTAAAATACACACAGATGGTTCCAATAATTCAATACACATCAGTTTCAACAAAACCAATGGTAGTTCATCATTATAAACATGAGACCAAAACAAATAGTTTTAACAGTATGCCAAGTTCACACATGTTTCAGAAATAATTTGATTTCCATTGACAATATAATAATTATGCAAAACAGTTTAGTCCTGAAACAACAATTATTAATTTTTCACAGTTCAGGGTAGGGGAACATTTATAAAAATATGTAAGCATGAAACTATCACCTAAAAACAAAATAATATATACTTGAATAAAGTATGAAAGTCCAACTAGTGCCCTGAACAAAGATTAAAACTTATACGTCACTTACTAATTTCAAAACATACTAAAAGGAATAATAAACTAAGTAACCCAAAACTAAAGCGCACTAACACGGTTCAACCCCAACTCAACCGTTATCGTAAATATTCCTAAGTTTATTTCTTCAAGGTCTAAAATCACGCCAAGACATGGTTCAAATCGAAAAAGCTTAATTAAAAGTAACTTAGATAAAATAGAATTTTAAACTAGTTTTACCAATCTATTCACTAACTTTGAGAAATTAAAAAACCACTCCACGTTGTTTCAAAAAATTCTAAACACCCCTAGATATCAACTAATATATCCTAAGTTTCAAACCAAATGGTTTCAACTTGTTTTTCTTATCAAAAATAATTATCTAAGATCAATTATATCTAACAGGTTATTTTCTACAGCACTTTAAGAAATTAATGGTTCTTTTAGTATACTATGAGCAATCAATGCAAGGCGCAAAAAATTGCGAAACTAGACTCGTAACTGGTTCTAATGACACTGATTTGATTAATTTTTCAAGATTTATACCCAAAGAAGAACAACACTTCCCGAACTTAACTGCTTAAAACCAATTTCTGGACAGGATTTGAACGCATCAGTTTTATATGGATTTTTGACTCTCAATAAATTATGAAAAAATTTCAGATATGGCAACTCAATATGTAATTAATCTACTACAAAAATTTCAATTCAAATTCATTCATTTGATAGATTTAACTGTTTTTTTAAAGTTTGTGATTCTGTACAAAGTTTTTGACTAAGTATTACACCATTCTTTATACCCAACCACTATCCCAATCAGCCAAATATTTCATAGCATGCCCAACACATGTACTACTTCACCATTTATCCATGCAACTACGCGCAACTCACAGAAGAAGAAAAGAATAGTGAGGGAATTAAAAAAATAGGGATTTACCTTGCCAATGGCCACCACAAAACTCAGCAATTTTCAGCAACATTTCACCCAAAGACCTAGACGTCTCTCTCCTCTCTTTACCTCTCACGGCTGCTCTGAAAGTTGTGGGAAAACAATAACATAAGAATTAGGGTTTTGTTACCTTTATATATATATTATATATATATAATATCTCAAAAGGCTGCTATATTTATTATCTCTTTATATTATTTAATTTTATATCTTCATTAAAATACAAATATTATTAAGATCAAAAATATGCTTTACTAAATTTGGCACTTAAATTTATTTATTTATTAAATAATAAATATTGCCTCGAATTAAAGACTTTCACCATAAATTTTAATTTTGGTTAAACATTAATTAAAAGACCTGCCAAATATTTAATTTGCACTTTAGTTTACCATCAAAATATTTGAGATTGTATATATTATTATTTAATTATTTACCTTGATTTGTATAATTCAGGTTTCACATTCTTATTCTCTCCCTCCCCCCCCCTAAAAGAAATCTCGTCCTCGGAATCTAACCTTGAATAATCATGAGAATAGATGTGATACTTCTCGCGGCATCTTTTATTCCTCGGTTCCCAAGTTGCCTCTTCAAAACTAGATGATTATGGGGCGCCACAGTACCTTAACAAATTTAATGACCTTTGTACGTAATACTTTTCTCTTGTCGAATCCAAAAATCTGAACAGACATCTCCTCATAAGAACAAATCATCTCTAATCTGAAACGGTTCATAATCTATCTCAATGCGACGAACTATGCACATATTTCCTCAGCATAGATACGTGAACACATTATGCACTCCTGCAACCTAGGGGGAAGAGACATGGTACGCAAGCCTCACCAACCTTCTCAATACCTCAAATGGACCAATGTATCTAGGACTCAAGCTTTCCTTTTCTTTCCAAACCTGATTCCAAACTCCTTTTCATGGTGACTACTTTCCCGATACATATCCCACACATGAAACTCTAAGTCTCTCCTACGATTGTTAGCATAACTTTTTTGGTTCTACTCTGGCAGTTAAATATCTCTCTCTGATGTGATTAATTTTCTGTGTAAGCTATCCTCCACCAAATCAGGTCCCAACATTTGCCTCTCACCAACCTCATCACAAACAAGGAGCACCTACATTCCTCCCATACAAAGCCTCATAGGAAGCTACTCCCAACTAGAATGATAACTATTATTAAATAGGCAAACTCCATGAGCGGCAAATAATCATCCCAATTACCTCTCCACTCCAAAGCACAAGCCTCAACATATCTCAAGGGTTTGAATAGTCCTCTCTGATTGCCCATCGTCTGAGGGCTGGATAAGCTGAACCTAAAATTTTAACCGAGTACCGCAAAGCTAACTGTAATGCACCCGCAAACTTAGACACAAAGCGAGGTCCCAATCTGGCACTATTAACACAGGTGCACATGCAATCTAAACAATCTCCTTCCATACAACTGTGCCAAATCGAGCTATAGAATAGTTCATTCGAACTACAATAAAATGTGATGACTTTGGTTAATCTTCCATAAACTACCCAAACTGCATCGTGTTACTACTAGTACGAGGTAAACCCACACAAAGTTCATGTAATATGATCCCACTTCACTCTGGCTATAGGCTAAAGGGTTTTAGTTTCCCGCCGTGGGTTCTGAATCGATGTTCTACTTTAACTTGTTGACACACCAAACACTGAGCCACAAATTCTGCAATATCTCCCTTCATACCATTCCACCAAAAATGTTCATGAAGATCCCGATACATCTTAGTACTTCCAAGATGAATGTTGTAACTAAAACTATGTGCCTCCATCATAATCTCCTTCCTCAAATCACCACCTGCAGGAACACAAATTCGGCTACGAAATCTAAGCAACCCATTATCCCTAGTCACAAAGTCTACACGCTTACCCTCTACCATCTCTCCTTTAATACGCTCACACTGGGAGTCAATCTCCTAACCTAAACAAATCCATTCTTTCAAGGTCAGCTGAACTGTCAATTGACTACAATAAGCCCTATCATCGGCGTAACAACCCAAGCCTCAAATGTTTCATGTCTTCCACCAAACAACTCTTAATAGACAAAGTAGCTACATCTCCAACTGTGACCTTCCTACTCAAGGCATCTGCCACCACATTTGCCTTCTCCGGATGATACAAAATATTTACATCATAATCTTTTAGCAACTCAAGCCATATTTTTTGCCTCAAATTTAGTTCCTTCTGTGTGAAAATATACTTCAAACTCTTATGATCAGTGTAAATCTCACATGACTCTCCATACAAATAATGTCGCCAGATCTTAAGAGTGAAAATCACTGCTGCTAACTCCAAGTCATGCATAGGATAATTTCTCTCATGTACTTTCAACTGTCGTGACGCATAAGCAATCACCTTCCCATGCTACATGAACACACATCCTAAACCCTATTGTGAAGCATCACTATAAATCACAAAACCACCCCCATTTCCCGGTAAGGCAAAGATTGGAGCTGATGTCAATCTCTGTTTAAACTCTTGGAAGCTACGCTCACAATCATCATTCCACTCAAACTTTACCCCTTTCCTGGTGAAATTGGTAAGTGGCAAAGAAATACGGGAGAATCCTTCCACAAACCGTCTGTAATATCTAGCAAGCCCTAGAGAGCTGCGTACCTCTGTCACAGAAGTAGGTCGTGACCAATCAACGATTGCTGCCACCTTCGTGGTATCCACAAATACCCCATCTTTACTCACCACATAACCCAAAAAGGATACACTGCTCAACTAGAATTCACACTTCTTAAATTTTGCATACAATCTCTTCTCCCTAAGGATCTATAGTACTACCCTTAAATATTGCTCATGCTCCTCCTTACTCCTCGAAAAAAACTATGATGTCATCAATAAATACTACCACAAATTTATCCACATGGGGTTTAATATTCTGTTCATCAAATCCATGAATGCGGCTGGTGCATTTGTGAGACCAAAAAGCATTACCAAGAACTCATCCCATAACGGGTTCTAAAAGCTATCTTAGGAACATCCTCATTTCTTACCTTCAACTGGTGATAGCCTGATCTCAAGTCAATCTTAGAGAATACCTAAGCTCAATGCAATTGGTCAAATAGGTCATCAATGTGTGGCAAAGGATACTTATTCTTCATTGTGACTTTGTTCAATTCCTATAATCAATACACAATCTCATCGACCCATAGTTCTTCTTCACAAACAACACAGGTGCCCCCCAAGGTGAGATGCTAGGCCTAATAAAACCTTTGTCTAACAACTCCTATAACTGAGTTTGTAAGTCCCTCAACTCCAACGGTGCCATTCTATAGGGTGCTTTAGAGATAAGTGTTGTATTGGAGACCAAGTCAATGGAAAATTCTACCTCACGATTTGAAGGAAGATTAGGTAGATCCTCTAGAAAAACATCAACAAATTCCCTCACTACAGGCAACTCCTCTAACTTCTGCTCTAGTTGTTCGGTACTCACCACACAAGCTAAATAACCATGACACCCTTTTCTCAAAATTCTGTTAGCCTGAAGGGAAGAAATAAAACAAATAGAAGACCCTTTCCCATCTCCCTGAAAGAAAAACTCATGTTGCCCCAGCATAGCAAAAGCTCCCCTCTTTCCAAAACAATCAATAGAGGCATGATGCTTCGTTAGCCAATCCATCCCCAAAATCACATCAAAATTCTTCATCTCTAAAGAAATCAAATCCACTGGAAAAATTTTACCATCTAACTCTATCTCACAAGATCTACAAACATCCCCTAATACTACTGTTTCCCCTAGTGGAGTAAACACAGCAACACATGCATCCAAAGGCTCACAAGGAATAGACAAACAACGTAGAAACTTAGGTGCAGCAAAAGAATGTGTAGATCCTGAATCAAATAACACTTTGGCAAGTACAGATGATATAAGGAGTGTACCTTGTACCACAGATGGAGTAGCCTCAGCCTCCTCTCTAGTGAGGGCATAAACACGTCCTTAGGTAGCCGCTAACTTCTTTTCTTGAATCCCATTCCCGGATGTCTAGCCTTGGCTAGTCCCACTTTTGCCATTATTCTGCTTCTGGTTAAACCCACAGCTATAAAAAGTTCATCTCTGCCCTTGCCCTTGAAATGACTGTGCTACTGACTGACCTCCCAGTCCCTTGGACCTACATTGTGCAGAGAGATGCCCAGGCTTGCCACACTTGAAGCATATTCGACCTGTGCCATCACAATTATACTCGACAGAATGTGACCTACCACATATGTCACAAATCCTCCGATTCTGCTGCCTCATGCCATTACTAACCTGACCTTGGGTGTAAGGCTTCTTGCTAGGATTACTACCACCACCACGATGCTCTACTTGTCTCTCCTCCCTAAGTCTCTTGTTTTGTGGTTCCTTGGCCTTTTGTTCCTCAGCTCTCTTTTCCTCTTCTGCTCCCTTTTCAGCTAGTAATGCCTTGCTTACCAATGCAGAATATGTCTTCATCTCCGAAATAGCTACTTTTGCATAGATTTTTGGCCGCAAGCCATTCTCAAACAACATCACTCTATCTTCCTCTATGGCCACCTGATGTGGGGCATACCTTGACAACTCTGCAAACTTGGCTTCATACTGAGCCACTGTCATCTCATTTTGCTTCAGATTGAGAAAATCCACTTGCTTCTACCTTCGCACAGCTTCAGGGAAGTATTTCTCATTAAACAATTCTAGAAACTTGCTCCACACTAGCTTTGTTTCTCTACTCTCATATTGACGTTTCACCATGCGCCACCAATGCTCTGCTTGGCCCTTGAACCTAAAAGCTGCAAAGGCCACCCTCTGGTCTACTGAACAACCTAGAACATCATATATTTTCTCTATCTCTAGTACCCATGCCTCTGTCTCCATAGGGTCCACTGTTTCGAGAAATTCTGGAGGTTTTGCCTTCATAAACCTCTCAAATAAGGAACCTCTATCCAAACTTAAAGTTAATGGAACTGCTGGTTGTAGAGCTACATGATTGTTCAGTAGTGCCAACAATGATTGTAGAACCTGTGCGACTGGTGCAGCAGGAACAACTCCTGGTGCTTCAGGGACCACTGGAGCAACATGTGGTGAAGTAGGGGGAATAGGAACAGGGGGAACTCTACGATTAGAGGCTGGTTGATCAGTTCCAAGAACATTGACACTTCTTCTCCTAGGTGCCATCTCTTAACCTTCAAAACGAAATTAAGAAAAGCTCAACACAAGCTTAAACAAAACTAACTTAACCAAACACTACTAAGGACTATAAGGACTCGGACCTCGTCTAAATGATGAAATGCAAGATATGTAACTCGATAACCTACAGCTCTGATACCATAATTGTCACACCCCAAACTCGGGTATGACCGGTCGTGGCCCACAAGGCCTTAGCCCAAGGCACACGTAAGCCTAAACATGAATCCATAATCACATTGAACAACTAAACAATAGTCCAATAAAAAATAACCAAAACTCAAACCAGACATGCCACAATTATAAACCGCAAAATCAACCGTAACCAAAACCATCCAAACTTATAGTATATAAACAGCCCACATATCAAAATAATCCTAAATGAACCCCAATAAAAATAAAATAAATAAATAAATATGCACAAACTTGACATAACACTCTAAAATAAAAGAATGTCCTAGAGGTCCATGCAATCGAGTCCCTGCTATGCCATAAGTCCAGTCTAAGTCCTTCTAACACCTGGAAATGATAAAAAAACTAAGTCAGTTGATAGCTCAGTGAGTAGCAACATGGATAGTATATACAGTTTTGAAAATAGGGTTCAATTCCAAAATAAGATATATATCACAGAAACTAGATTGGCAGACAGTTTGATAAGGTTCCATAGTTCAACAGTTAAAATACTCATGTCTCTCAAAAACATAATAAATGACATTTTTCACTGGAACAGATTACAACATGAACACCAATAATTTTCTGAGTACCAAGAAAATAACAAGTAATATGCCACACAGTTCTCAAGGCTATAAGCCCTGTTGGATCCAACACCGAACTAAGAGTCATCCTCAGGGTGGCAACCCGGGCCTTTTCTCGAAGACAATCCGATTGAAGGTCACCTAGCTTAACCTAGGTCTTTTACATACAATCGTTCAGCACTAGAGTCATCACGGCCCAACTCGGATCTGTTCCCTAGTGGCCAGAGTCACCACACACGGTGGAATAATTTCCCTGGACTAAATACACAGAAGGTCCCAATAATCAATACACATCAGTTTCGCAAAACATGATAGTTCATCATTATAAACATGAGACCAAAAAAAATAGTTTACAGTATGCCAAGTTCACACATGTTTCAGAAATAATTTGATTCCATTGATAATAAAATAATTTATCAAAACAGTTTAGTCCTGAAACAACAATTTAATTTTTTAACAGTTCAGGGTAGGGGAACATTTATAAAAATATGTACCATGAAACTACTCACCTAAAAATAAAATAATATAATCCTCGAATAAAGTATGAAAGTCCAACTAGTGCCCTGAACAAAGTATTAAAACTATATGTCACTACTAATTCAAACATACTAAAAGGAATAATAAACTAAGTAACCCCAAACTAAAGTACACTAACACGGCTCAATCCAACTCACCGTTACTCTTAAATATTACCTAAGTTCATGTTCTTCAAGGTCTAAAATCACCCAAGACATGGGTTCAAATCGAAACTTAATTAAAAGTAACTTTAAGATAAAACAAAATTTTAAACTAGTTTTCCCAATCTATTCGCTAACTTTGAAAATTAAAAACTTACTCCACGTTGTTCGAAAAATTCTAAAACCCTCCAGATATCAACTAATATATCCTAAGTTTCAAACCCAAATGGTTTCACTTGATTTGCTTATCAAAATAATTGTCTACAATTAATTATATCTAAACATGTTGTTTTCTGCAGCATTTCAAAGAAATTAATGGTTCTCTTAGTATACATGAGCAATCAACGCAAGGCCAAAAAATTACGAAACTAGACTCATAACTGGTTCTAATGACGCTGATTTGATAATTTTCGGATTTATACCCAAAGAGAACAACACTCCCGAACTTACTGCTTAAAACCAGTTTTCTGGACAGATTTGAATGCATCAGTTAATATAGATTTCCACTCCCAAAAATTATGAGAAAATTTTGATATGAAATTCAATATGTAATTAATCTACTGTAAAAATTTCAGTTCAAAATTCATTCGTTTGATATGGTTTCTTGATTTTTAAAGTTTTTAGCTTTGTGCAGAATTTCATACTCATAAATTGCACCCTCAACTTTATGCACCCGATTAATTCCTCAAACTACATAAAAAAACCATGATATTCACAAATAGTGGTTTCCAAGTACTCCTATCTAACCCACGTTTCACTCACAAGGTCCACCATTATAAGCAAAAACACTCATTGAATATAACCCATGCCATATACTTGTTTTTCATACATCCACTATACCCATTACGCTATTTCACACCAACTATTAACCTGATAGATATTGAAGCCACCTAATTAGTACCTTTCATTCCTTCTTCTTCCAAAGAATGCACAAAAACATCTACACAAAATAACTATATTTTCAAGATATTGATTTCTACCTTGGAGATGGAGTTATTCAAGCACCAAACTAGTTCTTCAATTTTCACCCAAAAGCTACGCCTATCTCCTCTTCTCCCTAGACTTCACAGCTGCTCATTCAATATAATGAGAGTTTAGGGTTACCCACACACTTCAAATAATCTAACTCCCCTAACCTTTTTCTTTTCTTTTCTTTTATTTTATTTTTTTTATTATTGTTATTATTATTATTATTTAACATTATTACTATTATTTATTTTAATAATAAATTTTGCCTCTAAATTATAGACTTTCACCATAAATTTATTTTAAGTTTAAATTAATTAAAAGACCCTCCAACAATATTTAATTTGTACTTTAGGATTCACAATCAAAATATTTGAGATTGTAAAATGATTATTACTTAATTATTTATTTGATTTGTATATTCGGGTTCCCACACTTCTAAGATAGAACCAGTGCAAGATTGGGAACAACCTAATAATGCCTTTGAGATTCGTAGTTTCTTGGGCTTAGTCAATTATTACCGTCGTTTTGTGAAGGATTTTTCTAGATTGGCCTCACATTTGACTAGACTGGCGAGGAAGGGAAACAAGTTTGTATGGAATGAGACTTGTGAGAAGTCGTTCCAAGAGCTTAAAGTTAGACATACACTGCTCCAGTGTTGATTATTCCGAAGAGGGATTTGGGCTATTCCGTATATTGTGATGTGTCACAGGAATGTTTGGGTTGTGTCTTGATGCAAGAGGGGAAGGTAGTAGCTTATGGCTCACATCAGTTGAAAACACACGAGAGATACTAACCTACACCTGACCTAGAGCTAGCAGCAATGATCTTTGCCTTGAAGATTTGGAGACATTACTTGTATGGTGAGAAGTTTGATACATTCTCTGATCACAAGAGTTTGAAGTACCTGTTTTCACAAAAATATTTGAATTTGAGGGAAAGGATGTGGATGGAGTTTATGGAGGACTATGATTTTAAGTTACACTATCATCTGGAGAAGGCCAATGCAATGGCCGATGCCTTGAGTAGAAAATCCTTTAACAGTATAGCTAGCATTGCCATTCGGGAATGGAAGATGTTGGGTGCCATTGGTGAGTTTGACTTGCACCTTGGCGAGTCTGTTGAGTCGGCTACTTTGTTTACTGTAGTTGCACAATAGGGTGATCATGAGGTAGAAACTCTCCAGGAGAAGATATCTAGTGGAAAGGTATAAAAGGGCTTGAGCGTGTATTCTAACTCAAGTGTTACATACATTGACCGTCTTTTCATGCCGGAGTCTTGTCGAGAGGAGGTATTTCAAGAGTTTCACCACTCATGCATTGTAGTGCATTCTGGAGGCACAAAGATGTATCACAATCTTAGCTGCCAGTTTTGGTGAAGGGGAATGAAAAAGGTTGTGGCTGTGTTTGTATCGAGGTGCCTTATTTGTCAACAAGTGTAGGCCAAACATCATAAACCAACGGGTTTGTTGCAACCCTTACCTATAGCCGAATGGAAGTGGGAGCATATCAAGATGGATTTTGTTGTGGGTCTTCTGAGGACTCAACAGTGTAATGATGCCATTTGGGTGATAGTTGATCGGTTGACTAAGTCAGCGCACTTTATACCTATGCGCATGAGTGACTCGGTAGATTATCTTGCCGACCTTTATGTTAGGGACATAGTTCAACTTCATGGGGTCCTTGTGACTATCATTTTGGATAGAGATCCTCGTTTTACAGCTCAGTTGTGGCAAAGCCTATAGAATGCCCTAGGTACTAAGTTGACTTTTAGTACCACCTATCATCCTTAGATTGACGGGCATTAGAGCGTACCATTCAGATTTTTGGGATATGCTTCGGGGTTGTGTTATTGATTTTAAGGGGTCATGGGAGAGGCACTTACCTATGGTGGAGTTTGCCTATAATAATAGCTTTCAAGCGAGAATTGGCATGGCACTGTATGGGGCCTTGTATGGCCAACCATGCAGATCTCTAGTGTATTGGGCCGAGGTGGGTGACGCACCTATGTTAGGTCCTAAATTAGTTTGGGA